GCTGGTGGTTCGCAATGTGACGTTTGCTCCCTGGTAGCACAAAGGTTGTACAGGCCTCTAAGGGCATCAGTACATATGCTATCATCCAATAAAAACCTTCTGTTTAAATGTGTTGAATGTTGCGCACAGAAAGCGAAGCTCCCGGCTTTCACCTGTGCTCAGTTCAAAGCCCCGACACTTAGATTCACATTAATTGCGAAGGCTTTAGCCGAGCTTGCCTCACTTGCCGCTTTCAACTCTAAAGTATAGATTTTTATGAAATCACTGCATGTTGCCAATGTGGACGCTGTAATGGACTGTGCACCTACTGACAGTCCATCCTTTGACGAAGCAGTTATCCTACCGGATACTCCAGTTCAGATGGCTATACCTGACACAAATGCCTCGGAGAACATTGTTGCCGCGCCCCAAATGGAAGGCGTCAACGGCTCCTGGGCCATTAAAGAATAAGCATAAGAGGCCAAGCAAAACGCGCAAATCCCCCGCCCCCAACCCGTGAGGTGGTAAAATGTATAGTAACTCAGCGGCTGAGTTGGAAACATCACCTGGCGTTGCAATTCCCTCCGTAAAACATGAGATGCCGTCGTCTTTGGTCACACCGAATCCCGTCAAACAACCGTGTGACGGGTTTGGTAGAACTTGTGAAGTAAATACATCTCGTCGGAGTGATCCTTACACAGATAGCAGTGTGACGTTCAAAACCGCCACTGAATCCACTGCCGCTCTTCCCACCGAGCGCACGCATGCTGATCTTGGTTGGCTTAAATTTTGCATGCCCCGGCACTTACCGCTAGGTTTCCATGGCGTTCCTGTCATGAAGCTCATCAGATTGGAGAATGTTCAGGTTGGCCAACCAAATCCTCGGCCCCGTCTGCTTAGGGTGGTCCTCTCCACCGCAGAAGACCTCAGGTCATTACTGCGATTTGCGTACAAGCTCCAAGGTAGCAAACTTGGTGTGCAACCATACCCTCTGTTAGCGAATAGGTTAAAGTTAAAGGAAGCCATCAGCGAGCTAAAACCCGGCTTGTTGCTGGCGAGCAGGGACACCGAATGCTGGGTTTTCAGGTGATCAGCCTGCGGTAATTTTCCGCCCCGTCAGAACCCATACTACTTGCGCTCGACACAGGGCTGGTCGTGCCGAAGTCCTTCAATTAGTACTTAGTAATGTGCCTAGCTTGAGGAACAAAATGTGCTAGGTGGGTCTGCTGGTAGACAAAACTTGTCCAGCTATACTTGCTTTCACTGAAACGTGTCTGCCTGAGGAAATCGCAGATGGCGAAGTATACCTGCCAGGCTAAACACTGTTTTGTGCTGACCGCTCCATTGGCCATCAAGTGGTGGTGTAGCTCTTTATGTGAGTTATCACATCGACGTATTGAGGACCAGCGTTTTTCATTCTGTCTACAAAGCTGTTGAGACTCCCGAAGTATTTATGTGCGCTTCCTTGGTTCAGGTTACGGTCTTGTTAGTGTATAGAAGCCTTATGAGCACCTCCAATGGAACCAGTGAACTTATACTCCCTCACACTGCAAACAATGTCTGGTGCTGAGAGGCGTTAACATGCAAAGGTTTGTTGTGATGATCTACCTTTTTAGTTCGGCTCTGGGATCCATCGATACAGAACTGCTGGACTTAGCGATGCAGGTACCACTACATCAGTTCGTGGACCAACCCACTAGGTACATGAGTAAGTAGCAGCCGCCCATTTTAGATCTTGATTTTGCTAAGTAACGACTTTGGAAATACCCTTACTTACGACTCGCCTCTCGGCGCCAACGATCATGTTTGCTTGGCATTCCAGTGTACCCTTATCAGACCTTGCCAAGCTACTAACAGTTGGTATCCGAACATTTGGGTCGCGGAATTCCAAGCCATGCGGGAGATAGCTAGGTCATTGCCATGTGTGAGGTCTGAGACCGCCACTGTTCACGTAGTCTGGGGAAAGCTTAAGGCTTACCTCGTCGTCATTTCTGAACATCACATCCCACTGATAAAAAGATGGGAATCGAGAGCGCAGCCTCCGTGGATAGTTTCAGCGGCGAAGGGCTGCTAACGAAGCTGTCTAGATGCAGGCGTGCGTGCTGAACAGCTCCATCGAACAGCACGTTTGACATGTGTCGGTTTGTTCGAAGTCAGTGCAAGCTACATCTTAGGTTGGTCCGGTTTCAGTCTGCAAGATGCTTAGCTGATACTCCCTCGAAAAATTCCAAGCAATTTTTCGCTTACGTTAAACGACGCTATGATACAAACGCGCCCATACCTTTACCGCTTCGAGGAGATGGGACCCGTGCCTGTGGCGACTATGACAAGGCATGCGTGCTTGGTGAGCAGTACTCAAGCGTCTTTGTCCGCGAAACCACTACACCTTGCAAAGAAGTAGCTTCAAGCGTCTCTGTGGACTAATGTCTGGATGAAATTCCAGCACCTGAGTCCAAATTCACCGGTTGCTAAAAGAGGTGAACCCAACTAAGGCTTCCGGGCCAGATTCTGTTCATCCAAAATTGTTGCGCGCATTGCCTGTGAAACTCAGTGGACCCCTGACTTGCGTGTTTAAGGAGTCACTCAACAGCTGTGTTTTACCAACCAAATTGAAGTAGGCTGTTGTCTGCCCGATTTTCCATTGCGGTGACAAAGACCTACTGGTTAATTACAGGCCGGTCAGCTTGACTAGCGTGGTCGTTGTTACTTGCAAAATTAGTACGAGATATAGTGGAGAACCATGTAAATACGTTCAAGCTGCTTAGCATTGTGCAATATGCATTTCGCAAATGACTTGCGTGTCAAACAAACCTACTGGTAGCTCGTGAGAGCTGGACTGAAGCCGTGGACAGTGGACATGGATGTGGTGTGCATTGACTTCGTTAAGGCCTTTGACCCTGTGCGCATTCGCAATTCTCAGTGAAGTTAGTGTCGTACGGAATATCGGGTCGCGCTGTCCAATGGGTGTCAACTTTCCTCGATGGACGAGGACAGGGGATGCGTGTGGGAGGCAACCTTTAGTTTCGACAAGCTTTCCTTAGCGGCGTTCCGCAAGGCTCTGCTTTAGGTCCTCTGCTGTTCTCAGTCTGCTTGAGTGACTTGCGGAGGAAGTTTGAAATACCATCGCTATTATTCACTAGAATATTGTTGATATCCCTGGAGGTCCTGTAGCCCTTCAACGGGCTCTGGATATACCCTGGGAATGGTCTGCCTTGGGGTTGTTGCCCATGAACCATATAAAGTGTTCTGTGCTGCTTATCGGAGCGTCTGCTTCCTCAACACGTTAGTGCTGGATGGGAATATGCTTCTTTACGTGACTCTTTAGATGGATCCAGCGGTCATCCCCTGTTCCACACTATATTCTGGAGACAACTGGAAGAAGGCAGCTAGTAAAGGGTTCCGGAGGTTGTGGCTTATCCGTTGTTCTTTCGGGACCACAACCGCTACTGTGGTTGTGAAGCTGTTCTCCGCGTTTGTGCCCCCAACTAGAGTAGTGCGTCCAGGCCTGAGCACCGTGCCTTGTCCGGGACAAAATGACACTAGTAAGGGTGCTGCGTGTCGGTACTAGGTTGGTCGAAGGGTTACGAAGACAAACGTACCCCGAACGCCTACGTAGTTTTGAACTGCATTCAATGCAATATCGAAGGATTAGAGGGGACCTAATCCTTACCTACCGTATTTTGACTGCGAAGGTTGGCCGTGGTTTTTCCTGGCCATTTAGTCCTGCTAGGTCACCTGGTCTCCGCGGGTATTATAGGAAGCTGGACAAACCGCGGTCCGATCGATTTAGAGCGGAGACCCAGTTATCGCATCGAGCTGGCGGGTGCAGGCACGCTTTTAGGAATGTTGTCATGGAAGCCATGGTTAAGGGGTTTGAGTATCAACTGGCTGCTCTAGGGTGGCAACAAGAAACCTTTCCTGTTACCAGTCTGATTCCCATCTTCATACTTCGGTCCCATCTTCGGTACTTTTCCACACCATTGGTAATATTCTATTGGTTTAATTTGTGTGCCTTACTCTTTACATTCAATTTGTCTTCCTCTTTTACTTCAACTCAACACTGAGAGTTCGACATGAGGCCAGCGCATGAAACTGTTCAAACCGAGAAATCTCCGTGTGCTGCTAAATTTGGCCTTATCAACTCGCGTGGTGAATGATTGGAATCGGTTGCCGGATCCTGTTGTTGCTGCTGAGACAGAGGAACGTTTCAAACAACTGTTAGGTTCTCACCTGAGCGCACTGGGATTCTGTTGCCTCTAAGACAGCTACAGTGGTGCACTGCGGAACCCTCTGCCGCAATGACCCAGGCCATCTCCGCAATGATCGGGAAGTGAAGGAGCTGACAAAGGATCTTCCTTCTGCTCTCGATGATCCAAGGATTCATATAACTGACATAACAGGGATTGCTAATGTAAGGAATGTGGAAATTAAATTGATGGATCAGGGTGTTTTTCAGGTGTTTTCCTTTTAGACCCATCAGGAAGTCGGAGCACCCTTATCAACTCCTGGAGTGGGGACCGCTCAAAGAGGAACACTTACGGAATACATCCTATGGAGGAACCGGTAAAGGAGAATACCAAGTCAGTCAGGTTTACCTCACATATAAAGTATCCTGATGCACCTTAGCGTCGGACGGCCGTAAATCCCGAGGTATGCCGAAATGTACGTATACGTAGAGTCCGATCGTGAACCAAGCAGGCAGCGATGCGCACAATCACAACAATCCAGCGGCAACCAAGGAAGAACCACGGAAGGCGAGCGCGTAACCAAGTGTGTATATATACAGTTAATTAAAACAAAGCTGTACAACAACTGCAGCGAAATAGGTAAACGTGAAAATGCAAAATAAGCAAATTATTTACAATCGCTACAATCCTATCGTCCCAGTCCCGCTTGAACTTGAACTCGTAGATCAGGCAAATACAGGGGGTTGAACTCTATAATTTTCGCTTCACTGCATTTAAATAGATAAATTTAACTCCGAAAGCGCTAGTTTGCTAGTCGAATCATTAAACCAGACACTTGGAGGTGGCAGCCGGTTTCAACCTTGGAACTTAAACATGGCCTTGGAATTTGGGTTATGGTACTTCGGCTCGTCCACCGTGCAATTTCGCGAATGAGGAAAATTTCAGACTCACAAGTGCGAACCTTTCGCTCGAAGGAAGAACGGAAAGCTCTCCAAAAGAGTTCGGCCAAGGCAAGGGAGCAAGAAAGGAAGCGCGCACTGACAGATTTTGCTCACTATGAAAACTCAGACATAAGTGATTATTATTTTTGCGATGGGTTTCGAAAGGTGAATGCTAGCGACACGTTTAATTTTCGCAGGTTTTTCCTTATTACTTTGTGTTCAAAGCTTATGCGAAACGTCGGTGGCTGGCGCGGTCACTGCGAGATGTTTTATTAGATGAATTCACCTTCCCGTCAGCAGATCTGATTGTGTGTTCGTTTTAATATATTTTCTAATACGCAGACTGAGCGATGTCGTCTAGGTGATATAAGAGTAAACGATACCTTAGTTTCTGAAGATTACATCCTGAAGGACACAGACCTTATCTCCCACAAAGTGCATCGCCATGAGCTGCCCGTTTTGGGTTCGATTGGTGATGTAATACCCTTTATGCAAACTTCCTAGATACACCTCCAATCTTCGTGCACGAAGATGACGACGTCTTGGTGGTCGTGAAACCAGCCTCCGTTCCCGTTCATCCTTGCGGCCAGTATACTCTAAACAGCATGGTGCACATTCTGGCTAAAGATTACGGATTTCGTCCGCTGAGGTTTATACATCGGCTTGACAGGTAACTCATTAACGGATTACTGCCATAGTATTCCATTTTACTTAAAGAACCACCGATGTATTTTAGCTTTTCTTCGTTTGACTAAGTTGTATATGACCGATGGAAACCTAGTTAAGTTGAATTTCAATTTCAGGTGGGACTGGAACCATAGGTAGATCGCGTAAGTGTTCCTACTTGCACCGATCGTTTAGGTAGGAATTGTTTAACTGCCCCGGGTCTTTGATGGATCTGAAACAGAACACCCAAATTTGACCCTACTTGAACAACTTTGCTCACGTTTCCTGCATTAGTAATCCTTGTCGTGCTGTGAAGCAACTGGGGTATAGGAAGATAAATCAAAAGTAGAGAACAAGATCACTTGAAAAAGGAGTATAACAAGATGTAGGGGGAAGTACAGAAAAGTAGAGGTATGTAGATGGGCGTTGGTTATGGGGAAGAAATCTTTCATGTTTTCACCCAAGAATGACGCTCAGACCCCTTAACCTTAGATTCCATTACCATGCTTGCTTAAAAAAGTTCCATCGTTAGACCTACTGCGACTAGACTAAACTTGAACGTGGTGCAATGTTTTGCGTGCCTCAGTGATCCACTGAGCTATGTTGGGCGGTGCTTTTCGCACCTTCATTACCACTCATACCAGTTGGATCAATAGTTAAAGACTAACGAAGCTTAGTATTCTTGCTCTCCAACTTGGGGATTACAGTGAGCGTGGCTCCTTACTCCCTAAAACGGACTCTTTGCAGCCCAGTGCTCGACTCTGCTGCCTTGCGCTCAGGTTTTTGTATCAAAAGATTTGTTAATAACAACAAACGTTCTCCTGTCGAAGCCTAGGCAGCCTGACATTACCAACTCGATCGATACAATAGACTATTCATTATACACTCTTGATGCTTTGGTCGTCGCAGAGGATAATCAACGGTGCCCTTTCTGCTGCACCGAGCAAGGTGGATAAGGGTGAGGACGCTACTGCTCAAGCCTCATCTTATTCTCCCTGTTGCGCTTCTTCATTCTTACCGCTCCCTTCTAACTTTACCTTTATCCTCCACCGTCTTCAACCTTAGTTTTTGGCCCTCCCCATCTTGTTTCAGTGGTCGCTTGTCCTCTAGTTTCGACTCACGCAATCAACTTAAGCATCAGTCGGCTCGTAGCCTAAGGCTAACGAGCATATCCTGTAATCTGACGGCGCGGGTTCGAGCCTGCGTAGCGGCAGGGCGACCCTCGCAATATCCTTATCCCACGTACGACTGGTGGCGAGTGCGCAGCAGCGAATTGTCGGTGCTGCGTACCGGCGTACTACTTGCCCGAACACTAATGACCATACCACCACCATCATCATAAACAGCAGTTCATCAGCCAATTGAACTGATGCTTCACTGTCATACAACCATCATGACCTATGGGATAAAGAATAATAAGAGGAAGAAAAGGGCATCTTACCTGAAAACCTTTACTCTCTAAGCAAACATCCAGGGTCAAGGCGCCTATACCTTGTGTTAACAACATACCGTCACAAACAGCTGGCTATCTTGCAAAGATATGGCGACATCGGCGAGACAACTTCCTTGCGATTTTCACTGTCGCGCATCGTAATCAGCCATTACGCCGCAGATTACTCAGCACCAAACACATTTTAAACAGACTTTCCGACTAAGAGACGGCAGCAGACGCACCACTGGTGTCGGTTACCAGCCATGTCCTGTAAAGTCCCGAGCTAATTACATGGCGTATCACGTAGACTCAGCCCGGAAGGCGAGACTGACCAACGGCACCCAATTTGGTCGTCAGTGACTTCACTTCACGTTGCCAAGTCAACTTCTGTCCACCGAGATTTGCGCCACCCTACACCTGACACACTATATAAGCGGTGACCAGACATACTTAGCACGTGCCCAAGCCAACGCAACTTATTGAGTGCTATCTGTTGTTCTAAGGAGGTAACGTGATCATCACTACCTAGTACTCGTCTATGCACATCATCCTTGCGGACATGCTGGTGCCACTCGACACCAGAAATGCTTCGTAGACAACGATGGTCGCAGACTTGAAGGAGCCTCAGATCAACAGACCGAAGGGGCCAAATCTCACTGCCTTAGAGCAGGACGGCCCTTACTGTGGCCTTGTATACACGGCGTTTGAGACGGATAGAATCTCTCTACTGTCGCCAAGGATGCCGCAGGTTCAATAAGACAGTTCTGGTTTCTGCACTGCGTGAACTTACTTCCGTTTCTATGTGCCCAGCGTTGCTGATGCAGCTGCGAAGGTAACTGAATTGATCGTTGGCAAGGGTCAAGGGATCGTAAAGGGGCTGGTGGCCCTGCAGCAACACTTTGAAGCTGCGAAGCGCATGCCAGATAATGTGGCCACTCTAGACAGGCTGTTCAGAGTTAATTGTTGCGCCGCAACATCGTCGACAAGCAAGATGATATCGTCCGCATAATCCATAACAACTAACCTTTCACCAGGCAGGACCTCAAGGCCTACAGCTTGAGATTCCATAAGGGAGCACTCCATGATAGAGTCGACGACGAAATTGAACAAAACCGGGAAAATCGGACAACTCTGACGAACGCCACTTGTGGTCGGAAATCTCTCCGACCGGTCACTGTAAACCATGACGTGGCCTGTAGTGTTGGAGTATAGAGCACATAGGACGTTCACATTTTCCAGGGGAACACCTTTGCGCAAGTACTTCGAACACAATGCATCGATCGAATCTAACGCACTTTTGCGCAAACGTTAAAGACCAATGGAGAATGCAGCGAAGCAAGACGGAGAACTGTCAACAATCAGCGGCGTTGTAACCTTACGGTGTTACGCGCACCTGTGCCGACAGATTCTAGTCCTCAGGCTGGTTATGACTACGACGTGGATATTCTGCAGAGTCTGTTTGGTAAGCTTTTCGACGCGAATGAACAGGGATTGCGGGTGAAACAAATCACCCGTCTTAGAAAGAGTGAGGAGGGGAAATCTAGGCCTTTGCGAGTCACGTTTGTTGCTACAACGAGTCCGAGGCTGATACTATCCCGCCTCGATAGGCTAAGGGGTCTAAAGATCCATATTCGTCCCGATTTGGATGTTTTGGACAGAAAGAAACTGAAATCCGCAATTGTGGAGTTTAAGCGTCGAACCGGTAGTGGAGAAACCGTCGCAACGAGACTGGACCTTAACGTGGTGCGACGGTTTGCGTACCTCATTGACCCATTGAGCTATACTGGGTGATGCCTCCGAGCATCTTGAGAGCTACTCCTACCAGGTTGGTCAATAGTGAGAGGTCAGACAAACTCAGTCTCCTGGTCCTCCAGGTTGGGGATTTGAAATGGGATGGCGTCCATTTCTGTAAAACTAAATCACTGCCACCCCGCTGCCTTGCGGACAGGCTTTTGAGCCAAAGGCTTTGGATGAGGACCCTAATCGTTCTCCTGTCTAGGTCTGGGCGCCCTGGCAGTATCCCAGCCTACATACAACCATGAAATTTTCTTCAAACACAAACTTTATCCTGCATCGGCCGTCGCGCAGATTATCAAGGGTCGCCTTATCTGCTGCATACAGCAGGGCGGATAAGCGAAAGCATGCTACTGCTGGCGCCTCCCTTCTTTCTTTTCCACCTTTTTCTCTTACTCCCATCCCGGCCCCCATTACTAACCTTCCTTCTATAATTCCCAGCTTAATTGACAGCAACCGAAGTGCTACTGGAGTAGAACCATCTGCAGCCACCATCCCACAGCACCTATCGGACGCCTATCGGCAAAAGTTCCTTATAAGGCCACGCTGTCCCGTTTCCATGGCGACATTCAACGTCCGCACTCTAAGACAAACAGGTCAGCAGACTGCACTCGCACGCACCTTGGACACACTGGGTGTTGATGTGTGTTGTGTGTCCGAAACTAGGATTAATGACCCTAACGGGGTTATTGAATTGACTGCACCCGGCTTGTCCTCTCGTTATTGGTTGCACGCATCCGGAGACGCCCATGCGGCACTCACGGGTCAAGCTGGTGTAGGTATCATTCTCAGCTCCAAGGCTGTGTCATCGTTGGTTGATTGGATTCCGGTGAACAGCCGTTTATGTGCAGCCCGTTTGACGACATTAGCTAAGGTGAATTCGCGAAGTAAAAACGCTGTTTGTTTGTGATTTCTGCTTATGCTCCCACGGACTGCAGTTCTAATGCAGTCAAGGACACTTTCTATCACGAACTGAACACGTTGCTACGCAGTGCTACTAGTTCAGATATTATAGTACTTGCAGGGGATATGAACGCACAAGTAGGGCGTCTGAGCTCTTCAGAAGCTCAGCTGGGTGGTAAGTATGGACTTAAACTCCGAACGGACTGACAACGGCGAGCGTCTGCTGCAACTGTGTGCGGAGCACCAGTTGTTTCTTACTAGCACTGCTTTTAGACACAGTGGGCGCCGAAGCGCCACTTGGCGTCCACCTGTAGCTGGTCAGCGATGGACTCAAATTGACCACATAGCCATAAGTTACAGGTGGCGCGGTTCCATTCTGGATTGCCGCTCGTACTGGAGTACCTGTGTCGACTCTGACCATGCCTTGGTACGTTGTCGTTTCTCCATGAACTTAACCGGGATGCGCATCAAGCGTCTCCCCCGATTGGCAACGGAGAAATTGTCCCAGCCCTCTGTCAGGCAAGCCTATCAAGAAGCACTGCATAGCGAACTCTCGCTGTCTTGTCCTAATGATACTGAACTTCAGTGGAATAGGATCTCGGCCACTATGCACGACGCAGGAGCATCTGCTTGTGGCACTATCAGTCGTCATCGCACCAGTCACTGGATATCCGAGAGGTCCGTGAACCTGTTGGAAGCTAGAAGACACCTCCCGGCTGGTTCTGAACACAATGTGACCAGACGGGCTATTAGGCGTGAACTAAAGCGGAGCCTACGTGCTGACAAGGGAGCCTAGTGGACCAGTCGGGCTCAAGAAATGGAGGAGGCAGGAGCAGTAGGCAATTACCGGAAGCTCTTCCAGCTAATCCGCACCA